CCACCACCTCCTCCACCACCTCTACCTACTCCACCACCTCCTCTTCCACCTCCACCACCTCCTCCTCCTCCACCGCATCCTCCACCACCATCTCCTCCTCCTCCACCTCCTCCTCCTCCTCCTCCACCTCCTCCTCCTCCTCCTCCACCTCCACCTCCTCCTCCTCCTCCTCCTCCCCTCCTCCTCCTCCTCCTTCTTCTTTGAACACAACAAGATGAGTCCACAGCAGACACTTTGCTGGCTGTTGAATTGGATCACCCTTTCGAAGCGTCTAGGACTGTGATGTATTGGCGAACAATGCGTGCAGCTCCCAATAAGGTGGCCTTTTGCAGCTGGCAGATGGTAATCTTGTCAGCGCCAATTGTGTTTAAGTGCAGGCCAAGGTCTTTAGGCACTGCACCCAGTGTGCCGATCCCCACTGGGACCCCCTTGACTGGCTTGTGCCAGAGTCTTTGCAGTTCGATCTTTAAATCCTCATATTGTGTCAGCTTTTCCAGTTGTTTCTCTTCCATCCTGCTCTCACCTGGGATTGCAACATCGACGATCTATACTTTGTTTTTCAACACTATTGTGAGGTCAGAAGTATTGTGTTCCAAAACTCTGTCTGTCTGAATCTAAAAGTCCCAGAGTACCTTGGCGTGTTCATTTTCTGTAACTTTTTCCGGCTTGTGATCCCACCAGTTCTTTGTCGCAGGACGATGGTGTTTGTGGCACACGTTCCAATGAATCATCTGAGCAACGGTGTTGTGCCTCTGCTTGTAGTCTGTCTGCACGATCTTCTTGCAGCAGCTGAGGATGAGATCTATTATTTCATCTGCTTCCTTGCAGAGTCTACATTTGGGATCTGCTGTTGACTGTTCAATTCTGGCCTTGATGGCCTTGGTTCGAATGGCTTGTTTTTGTGTTGCTAGAATCAGGCCCTCCTTCGTCTCCTTTTTCAAAGTTCCATTTGTGAGCCACAAATTCTATTATATTATTATTATTATATTATTATTATATTTATATCCTGCTTTATCTCCCCAAAGGGGACTCAAAGCGGCTTGACATAAAAGCATTAGCATACTATTTAAAATAATACCGCCTACTGTGGGCACACTTGTATAAGTCAACTATCTATAACTCTGCCATAAGCACCCATGGATAAGCTGACTTTAGTTACCAATCTGTCATAAGCACTCATGTATAAGTCGACTTTATGTACAAATGTACTCATGTATACACTGACTTTTGTTACAAATCTGCCATATGCACTCATGTATAAGTCGACTTTATCTATAACTTTGCCCTAAGCACCCATGGATAAGCTGACTTGTTACCAATCTATCATAAGCACTCGTGTATAAGTCGACTTTATGTACAAATGTACCATGTGTTGGCTATTTGTTTGAATTCTTCTTTGGTGATTTCTCCCTCTTTCCACTTCTTGTGCATGTCTCTTTTGTGTTTTAGCTCAGTTAGAAGTTCTTTGGACATCCAATCTGGCTTCTTTGCACTTGTCCTATTTTTTCTCTTTGTTGGCACGGTTTGCAATTGCGCCTTGAGTATTTCACTCTTGAGAAATTCCCATCCATCCGTAACTCCCTCATGTATAAGTCGACTTTATGTACAAATGTACCATGTATACTCATGTATACGCTGACTTTTGCTACAAATCTGCTATAAGCACTCGTGTATAAGTCGACTTTACGTATAAATGTACCATATGTACTCATGTATACACTGACTTCAGGTATAAGTCTGCCATAACCACACATATGTTGACTTTATGTACAAATGTACCATGTGTACTCACGTATACGCAGACTTTAGCTACAAATCTGCCATAAGCACTTGTGTATAAGTCAACTTTATGTATAAATGTACCATATGTACTCATGTATATGCTGACTTTATGTATAAGTCTGTCATAAGAACCCATGTATAAGCTGACTTTGGTTACAAATTTGCCATAAGGACTCATGTATAAGTTGACTTAAGGTAAAAATGCACCATGTGTACTCATGTATATGCTGACATTATATGTCTGCCATAGGCACCCATGTATAAGCTGACTTTAGTAACCAATCTGCCATAAGCCCTCATGTATAACTCAACTTGGAGCCATCGGTAGCGCAGTGGGCTAAAGCGCTGAGCTGCTGAGCTTGTTGACCGAAAGGCTGCAGGTTCGAATCCGGGGAGAGGGGTGAGCTCCCACTGTTAGCCCCAGCTTCTGCCAACCTAGCAGTTTGAAAATATGCAAATGTGAGCAGATCAATAAGTACCGCTCAGGTGGGAAGGTAAAGGCGCTCCATGCAGTCATGCCGGCCACATGACCTTGGAGGTGTCTATGGACAACACTGGCTCTTTGGCTTAGAAACTGAGATTTCACATTTCCAAGATGCCTCGTTATGTACAAGCAAAAAATCCAAAGTCGAAAACATTTCTGGTCCCAATCATTTCGGAGTAGGGAGGCTCAATCTGTATAAACACATTCAGGTATATGCGGGATTATACGGCAGTGTGTAAGGGGCCTAACCCTAACCTTTACTGGATGAATAATGCTGAGAGGTGCAGCCCAACAGTGCCACCTGCTGTCTGGATTTCACATTGCAGGCAGGAATATCACATCACAAAAGTAAATAAAATAAAATAAATAGGTTCTTGTGGTTTTTTTCGGGCTATATGGCCATGTTCTAGAGGCATTTCTCCTGACGTTTCGCCTGCATCTATGGCAAGCATCCTCAGAGGTAGTGAGGTCTGTTGGAATTAGGACAATGGGTTTATATATCTGTGGAATGGCTGGGGTGGGGCAAAGAGCTCTTCTCTGCTGGAGCTAGGTGTGAATGTTTCAGCTGATCACCGTCATTAGCATTTGAAGTCCTGGCTGAGCCTGGGAAAATCTCTTGCTGGGAGGTGTTAAGATGTGCCTGGTTGTTTCCTCTCTGTTGTTTTGCTGTTGTAATTTTAGAGTTAATACTGGTGGCCAGATTTTGTTCATTTTCATGGTTTCCTCCTTTCTGTTGAAATTGTCCACGTGCTTCTTGTGGGTTTCAATGGCTTCTCTGTGTAGTCTGACATGGTGTGGTCCAGCATTTCTGTGTTCTCAAATAATCTGCTGTGTCCAGGTTGATTCATCAGGTGCTCTGCTATGGCTGACTTCTCTGGTTGAAGTAGTCTGCAGTGCCTTTCATGTTCCTTGATGCGTGTTTGGGCATTGCTGCATTTGGTGGTCCCAATGTAGACTTGTCCACAGCTGCATGGTACACGGGAGACTCCATCAGAAGTGAGAGGATCCCTCTTCTCCTTTGCTGAACGGAGCATTTGTTGGATTTTCTTGGTGGGTCTGTAGATAGTTTGTATGTTGTGTTTCCTCATCAGCTTCCCTATGCGGTCAGTGGTTCCCTTGATGTATGGCAGGAACACTTTTCCTCGGGGTGGATCTTCATCTTGACTCTCGTGGCTTGTTCTCGGTCTTGCAGCTCTTCTGATAAAATAAAATACTTGATGTGACCCCAGAACGGCTTCCGCCCCTCCAGAGGAACCATGGACATGATCTTCACTGCACGTCATCTCCAAAAAAATGCAGGAAACAAAACCAACCTCTGTACATGGCATTCATTGACCTTTTGCAAAGGCATTCGACACAGTGAATTGCAGCGCTCTGTGGACCATCCTCCAAAAAATCGGGTGCCCTAACAAATTCGTGAACATCCTGTGGCTCCTCCATGATGACAACAGTCTTGGACAGCAATGGCTCCCAAAGTGACCCATTTAAGGTGGAATCAGGTGTCAAACAGGGATGTGTTATTGCCCCAACTCTATTCTACATCTTCATCGCTATGATACTTCATCTTGTTGATGGGAAGCTTCCCACCGGAGTGGAAATCATCTATCAGCAAGCTATTTACACTCAGCAGACTGAAAGCCAAAACCAAGGCTGCGACATGTTATAGAACCCCAGTATGCTGATTACAACGTCGTCTGTGCACATTCAGACCTACAAGCCACTCCAAACGCCTTCGCAGAAGCATACGAGAAGCTCGGCCTCTCATTGAACATCGAGAAAACCAAAGTGCTCTTCCAGTAGTCACCGGCCAGTCCCTCTCCAATGCCAGAGATACAGCTTAATGGTGTAGCATTAGAAAATGTGGACAATTTCCTCTCCCGTGGCAACCAACTCTCCACCAAAGTCAACATTGACACTGAAATACAACACCGCCTGAACTCTGTGAGTGCAGCATTTTTCCAATTGAAGCAGGGTGTGTTTGAGGACCGGGACATCCGTAGGGAGACCAAGGGGCTTGTTTATAAATCTCTTGTCCACCCAACCCTGTGAAACGTGGACTGTCTACAGACGTCACATGCAACTCCTGGAACGATTCCATCAGCGTTGCCTCTGAAAAATCCTGCCAATCTCTTGGGAAGACAGGCAGACAAATGTCAGCATGCTGGAAGAAGCAAAGACCACCAGCATTGAAACGATGATCCTCTGCCATCAACTCCGCTGGACCGGCCACGTTGTCCGGATGCCCGACCACTGTCTCTCAAAGCAGTTGCTCTACTCAAGAACGGAAAACAGAATGTTGGTGGGCAGGAAAAGAGATTGAAAGATGGGCTCAAAACCAACCTTAAAAACTCTGGCATAGACACTGAGAACTGGGAAGCCCTGGCCCTTGAGCTCTCCAGATGGAGGTCAGCTGTGACCAGCAGTGCTGCAGAATATGAAGAGGCACAAATGGAGGGCGAAAGAGAGAAATGTGCCAAGAGGAAGGCGCGTCGAGCCAACCCTGACCAGGACCGCCTTCCACCTGGAAACCGATGCTCTCACTGCGGGAGAAGATGCAGATCAAGAATAGGGCTCCATAGTCACCTACGGACCCACTGCCTGGACATCACATCTGGAAGACCATCATCCTCAAGCTACGAGGGATTGCCTAAATAAGTAAGTTTGACTGTGAAGCAAGCATTCCTAGATTGATAAAAATGCTGAGTCTGGTCAGATTAGAAAATTGGTCTCAGCCTTTTTCTTTTGTTATTTCGTTGCCGTTTTATTTTATTTTTTATTTTTTTTCCTTTTACATAAAAACTTCAGTAAAAATTGGATAAAGTAAAATGATTTCGAAGCAGTAAAATCAATCTTTATCAACATAGCACTGCGGCCTGCCAGAAACCCTGAGGCAGCCGGTTTGAGCAAATATTTACATGATAACAGAGTAAAACCTTGCAAAGAACGAGGAAAAACACCCCCAAAAATAATAAAATAAACAGAACAAAACAAACAAAAAAAATTAATAAGGAAAATGGGGAAAAAAATAAAAATAAAAACCAAACCTTCAGAACTATTCTTACAAAGTGTTCCCATGATATCAACACATGTTGGGCTTAAAAAGGAGAGAAAAGAAGAAAAAAACAAACAGAAAAAGAGAAAAAAAACCCTCTCAATATATTCACATAGACGTTAAAATATCATACAGATCTCGAGTAAAGGACAAACTCAGCTTGCAAATCGTTGCACTAAAACAGCACCGCCAAGATTGGGGAGGTTAGGGTTATTTTCCTTTCTTGCAAACAGGGGCCAAAAGTGGGATGTCGATGAGTCAAAGCCATGTCTAGGTAAGTTAACTTCCTTTTTTTTGGGAAGTTACTTTTTTTTTTGTTGAAATCGCTCTGTTTCTGCCCAATGTTTTGAAAAACCTGGCAGGGAGAGAGGGGCAAGGGTTGCCCCCCCAGGCACGAAACCAAAGCCCCCCAAGGCTCTTCCTCATCCTCCCCGCAAAGTCTACTCCAAGTCGGTGTCTTCTTTGGGCTTGTAAACGGCCCCGAACTTCTGCATGTACTTCTTGATGTACTCCTTCGTCTTGTGCTTCACGTTCTCGTTGCACTCCAGGTCCTCGGGGGTCTTGCAGTATTTCAGCTCCTTGTTCATCACTCCGTGGGTTAACTGTGGGGAAAGAGAGAGGGGGGGGGGAGGAAATGATGTTCGAACATTGGTTTCATTGGACCTCTGAGGAAGCTTGCCATAGATGCAGGCGAAACGTCAGGAGAAATGCCTCTAGAACATGGCCCTATAGCCCGAAAAAACCCACAAGAACTGATTGGTTTCAATGTAATGAAATACTGTTTGTAGTTTAAACTGTGTGTGGCGTTGCAATGCAGCGCAAGAGTTCAATACTGTGCTTGATTCCTAGGGCATAACTTTTGAGTGTTAATGTGTTTACATTCCAGAAAGGGGGAAAAAAAGGAAAGATAAGAAAAGAAAAGACAAAAAAGAAAGGACAGAACAGAAAAGGAAAATAAAAGAAAGGAAAAGGAAGGTAAGATAGGGTAAGAAAAGGAAAAAGGGAAGGGAAGGAAAAGGAAGGAAAAGAAAGGAAGGGAGGATAGGGTAAGAAAAGGAAAAGGAAAAGAAAAAGGAAGGAAAAGAAAGGAAAGATAAGGTAAGACAAAAAGGAAAGGACAGAACAGAAAAAGAAAATAAAAGTAAGGAAAGGAAAGGAGGGAAGGGAAGGGAAGGAAAAGGAAAAGAAAGGAAGGGTAAGAAAAGGAAAAAGGGAAGGAAAAGGAAAAGGAAGGAGAAGAAAGGAAAGATAAAGTAAGACAAAAAGGAAAGGACAGAACAGAAAAGGAAAATAAAAGTAAGTAAAGGAAAGGAGGGAAGGGAAGGGAAAGGAAGGAAAAGAAGGGAAGGTAGGGTAAGAAAAGGAAAAAGAAGGAAAGATAAGACAAGACAAAAAGGAAAGGACAGAACAGAAAATAAAAGAGAGGAAAGGAAAGGGGGAAGGAAAAGGAAAAGGAAGGAAAAGAAAGGAAAGGAAGGGAAGGTAGGGTAAGAAAAGGAAAAAGGAAAAAGAAGGAAAAGACAGGAAAGATAAGGAAAGACCAAAAGGAAAAGATAGAACAGAAAAAGGAAAATAATGGAAAGGAAAGGAAAGGAAAGGGAAGGAAAAGGAAAGAAAAGAAAGGAAAAGAAAGGAAAGGAGGGAAGAGATAGGAAGGAAAAGGAAAGAAAAGAAAGGAAAGCAAGATAAGGGAAGGTAGGGTAAGAAAAGGAAAAGGAAGGAAAAGAAAGGAAAGATAAGAAAAGACAGAAAGGAAAAGACAGAACAGAAAAGGAAAATAAAAGAAAGGAAAGGAGGGAAGGAAAAGGAAAGATAAGAAAAGAAAGGACAGAACAGGAAAGGAAAGGAGGGAAGGAAAAGGAAGGAAAAGAAGGGAAGGGAGGATAGGGTAAGAAAAGGAAACAAAAAGGAAAGGACAGAACAGAAAAGGAAAATAAAAGAGGAAATTACGTTCGGTTCCGTACGTACTTTAATCAACTTACAAGTTAATGGAACAGAAAGGCAATATAAGACAAGTTCAGACAAGAACAGGACAGGACAGAACATAACAGGAACGGACAAATTAACAAGTCCGTAAAGTGAAACGAGGGTAGGGCCATGTAAAAGGAAAAGGAAGGAAAAGAAAGGAAGGGAAGATAGGGTAAGAAAAGGAAAAGGAAAAGGAAGGAAAAGAAAGGAAAGATAAGAAAGACAAGTAAGGAAAGGACAGAACAGAAAAGGAAAGGAAAATAAAAGTAAGTAAAGGAAAAGAGGGAAGGGAAGGAAAAGGAAAAGGAAGGAAAAGAAAGGAAAGATAAGAAAGACAAGTAAGGAAAGGACAGAACAGAAAAGGAAAGGAAAATAAAAGTAAGTAAAGGAAAAGAGGGAAGGGAAGGAAAAGGAAAAGGAAGGAAAAGAAAGGAAGGGAAGATAGGGTAAGAAAAGGAAAAGGAAAAGGAAGGAAAAGAAAGGAAAGATAAGAAAGACAAGTAAGGAAAGGACAGAACAGAAAAGGAAAGGAAAATAAAAGTAAGTAAAGGAAAAGAGGGAAGGGAAGGAAAAGGAAAAGGAAGGAAAAGAAAGGAAAGATAAGAAAGACAAGTAAGGAAAGGACAGAACAGAAAAGGAAAGGAAAATAAAAGTAAGTATCGGATTGTGGCTTGACGATGAGACGATTCGGAATGTAGTAGTAATTTTGTAGTAATGTTGTTGTTTTGATAAGATGTTTTTATGACTATGATGAATTGTAGACTGTTTTGCACTATGCCTTGTAGATTGCACTTATTTTTCTTCATGTTGTACACCGCAATTAGTCGCCCTTGGGGCTGAGAATTGCGGTATATAAGCGCAGTAAATAAATAATGTAGAGGTAAAGATAAAGGAAAAGAGGTGAGGAAAGGAGAGCAATCTGAGTTGGAAAAGGGTTTGGAAGCTTCAAAGCTTTGGGGCTCCCAGGACCCATTTCGAGGCTCAGTCCTAACAAGTGTTGCTCTCCCCTCCTCTGCAAATGCACGATGATACCTTTCGTGCAAGATGCTTGAAGTCTTCCGTCGTGTTGATCCGTCCGACTTTGCAATCCGGCTTGCGATAAGGGTTCAGGCATTGGACGATGAACTGTGACATCTGAAGCAAAACAGAAGGTGGGATTTTAAAAAACTGCCACTGCTCTGTACTTTTATAAACAATCTCATAAATTGGGGAAGACCAATATTCCAGCTCACTGGACTCCACTGATCCCAAAGTCATGCGTGGCCTGACTCACCTCCTTCCGGAAGACTTCCTTGCTCTTTTTTGCCAGCTCGCTAGACGTGTCTGCTTCTGCTGTTTTGGGTTTTTTGGAAGACTAAGAAAAGACACAAAAAAAGGCTGGTGTTATTATTGCAAATGCTGACTTTTGTAAAAAAAGAGAATAAAATCAATGAATCACAGAATTTCAGAGCTGGATGAGACCCCCCCCCCCCCGAAGGCCATCCAAACCAACCTGCTTCGGCCAGAACTGGACACAGGATTATTATGTGGACAATTTCAACAGAAAGGAGGAAACCATGAAAATGAACAAAATCTGGCTACCAGTATTTAAAAAAACTCTAAAATTACAACAGCAAAAACAGAGGGGAAACAAACAAGGACATCTAATCACCTCTCAACAAGAGTTTGCTCCAGGCACTGTCAGGCCATTATATGCTAATCAAGGTGGTCAGTTGAAACATTCACACCTAGCTCCAGCAGACAAGAGTCCTTTGTCCCACCCTAAAAACCTTCGACAACAGAGGCTGAGTCTTTCTGGGTTAGAGGCGACCTCCAACGGGGACCACTAAAAAATCAAGGTGGTCAGTTGAAACATTCACACCTAGCTCCAGCAGACAAGAGTCCTTTGTCTCCCCACTGGTCATTCCACAGATATATAAACCCTTTTTCCTAGTTCCAACAGACCTCACTACCTCTGAGGATGGTTGTTATGATCATAGATGTCAAAGCCTGTTCAGCAGTGGAACTCTCTGCCCCGGAGTGTGGTGGAGGCTCCTTCTTTGGAAGCTTTTAAACAGAGGCTGGATGGCCATCTGTCGGGGTGATTTGAATGCAATATTCCTGCTTCTTGGCAGAATGGGGTTGGACTGGATGGCCCAGGAGGTCTCTTCCAACTCTTTGATTCTATGATTCTATGATTCATATAGCCCAAAAAAACCCTACAACAACCCATATAATAAAATAAATAATATAATAATAATATAAATAATATTTATATAAGAAGTCAACCATTTAAAAGTGATGCTGTGTTGGCAGTAAATTCTAAACATGCCAGGAACAGAAAAGACAACATTAATAGTTTCTGAAATGTGTTGTCGAAGGCTTCCATGGCCAGAATCATTGGGTTACTGTGAGTTTTCTGGGCCATATAGCCATGCGGCTAACACCTTCCAACAAAGGATTCCCCCAGGCAGGAAGCAGCCAGGCTTTGAAGCTGCAAGGCCATTCAATGCTAATCAACATTCACACTTGCCCCAAGTAGACAATCATAGAATCACAGAGTTGGGAGAGACCTCATGGGCTGTTCAGTCCAACCCCATTCTGCCAAGAAGCAGGAATATTGCATTCAAATCACTCCTGACAGATGGCCATCAAGCCTCTGTTTAAAAGCTTCCAAAGAAGGAGCCTCCACCACACACTGGGGCACAGAGTTCCACTGCTGAATAGCTCTCACAAGACTTCTCTCTCCCACCCTGGACATCATTCCACAGGTATATAAACCCCACTTGTCCAGTTTCCAACAGACCTCACAACCTCTGAGGATGCTTGCCATAGATGTGGGCAAAACGGCAGGAGAGAGAACCTATTCAAATGTATCTGTCCTTATGAACTATCTAGGATTTTAAGATCGTCTGGGGAGGCCCTGCTCTTGATCCCGCCTTCCTCGCAGATGCGTCTGGCGGGGACGAGAGACAGGGCCTTCTCAGTGGTGGCCCCTCAGCTATGGAACGCCCTCCCCAGGGATATAAGATCAGTTCCCTCCCTTCTAAAATTCCGCAAGATGGTTAAGACCTGGCTTTTTGAGCAAGCTTTTGCTACTGGAGCATAATTAGACTGAAATTAATCATGGAATGTCTGATGATGCAATTGGACCATGATTTCAGTAAGGAGAAGTTGAGGATTTGGACACAAGACACCTAACAACCCAATGTATGTCCTTCACTCAAAAAAAAAAATGATTTTGTCATTTGGGAGTTGTAGTTGCTGGGATTTATAGTTCACCTACAGTCAAAGAGCATTCTGAACCCCACCAACGATGGAATTGAACGAAACTTGGCACACAGTTCTCCCATGACCAACAGATAATACTGGAAGGGTTTGGTGGGCAGTGTCCTTTGGTTTTGGAGTTGTAGTTCACCTACATCCAGAGATCACTGTGGACTCAAACAATGATGGATCTGAACAAACTCTACACGAATACTCAATATGCCCAAATGTGAACACTGGTGGAGTTTGTGGAAAATAGAATCTTGCCATTTGAGAGTTGTAGTTGCTGGAATTTATAGTTCATGTGCCTTTCATCTCAAGAACAGAGAAGCATCCCGAGCTCTGATCACCTGGGAAGGGATCCCACTGGAGCATTGCAGCACAACCAAGTACCTGGGAGTCACTCTGGACCGTGCTCTTACCTACAAAAAGCACTGCCTGAACATCAAGCAAAAAGTGAGTGCCAGAAACAATATCATACGAAAGCTGACTGGCACAACCTGGGGATCACAACCAGATACAGTGAAGACATCAGCCCTTGCACTGTGCTACTCTGCTGCTGAGTACGCACGCCCAGTGTGGAACACATCTCACCAGTGGATGTGGCTCTTAATGAGACATGCCACATTATCACAGGGTGTCTGCGCCCTACACCACTGGAGAAATTACACTGCTTAGCCGGTATTGCACCACCTGACATCCGCCGGGAAGTAGCAGCCAATAGTGAAAGGACCAAGGCAGAGACATCTCCAGCTCATCCCCTGTTTGGGTATCAGCCAGCACGTCAACGACTTAAATCTAGAAATAGTTTTCTAAGATCTACAGAGACACTCGCTGGAACACCTCAGCAAGCGAGAGTCCAAAAGTGGCAGGCTCAAACCCAGCACCTCAGCTAATGGCTGATATGAGAGACTCCCCCCTGGGCACACAGAAGACTGGGCCACTTGGAAGGCACTGAACAGACTGCGCTCTGACACCACAAGATGCAGAGCCAACCTTAAGAAGTGGGGCTACAAAGTGGAATCCTCGACATGCGAGTGCGGAGAAGAGCCAACCACTGACCACCTGCTGCAATGCACCCTGAGCCCTGCTACATGCACAAGGGAGGACCTCCTTGCGGCAACACCAGAAGCACTCCAAGTGGCCAGATACTGGTCAAAGGACATTTAACCAACTACCAAACTCACAAGTTTTGTACTTGTCTGTCTGTTTGCTTTGTTCTGTTAGAAATGTAATATAATGGACTGGTTGCTCTGACACGACAAATAAATAAAAATAAAATAGTTCACCTACAATCACAGAGCATTCTGAACCCCACCAACGATAGAATTGGGCCAAACCTCCCACACAGAACCCCCAAGTGGGCCACAGCAACGCGTGGCAGGGGACGGCTAGTAAATAATAAAATAAATGCTTCTGGAACATGGCCATACAGCCCGGAAATCTCACAGGAACCCAGTTTCTGAAATGTTTTCAAATCCAAATGTATTTTTAAAAAATCCATCTTATGTATGTACAACAAAGGAAGTCTTATGTATGTACAACAAAGGAAGATTTTACAGTACATCTTGAGTGTATCGAGAACTGATATTGAATACTGGGCTTCTATAAACTTGCCAGATCTTTTTTCCACATTTTTTGCAAATGCCAGCATATTTTCATGGGTACCAAAAATAAATAAATAAAGACAACAACAAACTATCAAAACAAGGCAGCAAACAAAGCAGAGCGAATCCCTGGTCCTGCTGGCCCCAATGCCTGAATAGCGGCTCCTGTTCAAAACCTCTGGACTGTTTCCTGAGGATGAAAGGTCTGTATCAAGTGGGCACAATAATACAAAAAGAAAGTCCTCTGCAGAAAGGTCACTGAGAAGGAAATCCCTTTCATTCACTAAAGCGGAAAAAAAGCTCGGTTTTGCAATTCCGGCCACTTGAACACAAGCACCTGATTCACAGGGCTGAACATGGAGGTCAACATTAGTAGAGCAGAAATGTTCTTTCTTGTGCTCCAGACTTAGAAAGAGGAGGAGAACCATGCTTTCTGCTTTGATAGAAGCCCTAGATTCTTATTTTGTGCTTCCATTCCCTCTCTAAATTTATTTTTATTTATTTTACAGCATTTATATCAGTGGTTTTCAACCTTCCTAATGCTGCGACCCCCTAGTACAGGTCCTCATGTTGTGGTGACCCCCAACCATAACATTATTTTCGTTGCTACTTCACAAGTGTAATTTTGCTACTGTTATGGATCATAATGTAAATATCCGATATGCAGGATTTATTTTCAGTCACTGGACCAAATTTGGCACAAATACCCGATACGCCCAAATTTGAATACTGGTGAGGTTGGGGGTGATTGATTTTGTCATTTGGTAATGCTGGAGTTCCTGGGATTTATAGTTCACCTAAAATCAAAGAGCCTTCTGAACTCCACCAATGATGGAATTGAATCAAACTTGGCACACAGAATTCCCATGACTGAGAGAAAACACTGCGAAGGTCTGGTGGACATTGACCTTGAGTTTTTGGAGTTGTAGTTCACCTACATCCAGAGAACACTGTGGACTCAAGCAATGATGGATCCGGATCAAACTTGGCACAAATACTCAATATGCCCAAATGTGGAGTTTGGAGAAAATAGACCTTGCCATTTGGGAGTTGTAATTGTTGGGATTTATAGTTCACCCGCAATGAAAACTCAAACAATGGTGGATCTGTACAAAGCTTGGCATGGATACTCAATATGCCCAGATGTGAACAGTGGTGGAGTTAGGAGAAAACAGACCTTGCGATTTGAGTAGCTGCTGGAATTTATAGTTCACTTACAATCAAAGAGCACTCTGAACCCCACCAACGATAGAATTGGACCAAACTTTCCACACAGAACCCCCATGACCAACAGAAAATACTATGTTTTCTGATGGTCTTTGGCGACCCCTCTGACACCCCCTCGCAACCCCCAGGTTGAGAAACACTGATTTATATCCTGCCCTTCTCACAATGTAGGGGATTCAGGGCGGATCACAGAATACACGGTAAACACCCAATGCCGTTAAACAGACAGACAGACAACAGATAGAGATATTATGTCGGCATTTCCCCCAATGTTGACATCTTGGAAGTTGTGCTCAATTCTGGCCACAGGGGGTGCTGTTCCTCTACCCTCTATGACCTCTGTGGATCACAGACTTCCTCCTTCCTTTGTTTACCAGCATTTTTTGGTATTTATTAAGCTATGCCTAATTTCTCTACTCACAGCTGTTTTCTGCTTAGGTGGACAGTAAACTGGGCTGAAGGTCGGGTGCTCACCCCCACCCGGGATTCGAACTGCCAACCTTTTGATTGGTAAGATCTATTGCTGCTGGTGATTAACCAGCTGTGCTAAAAAGAGGAATCTCAACGCCAAGCTTTACGCCATCAACTCAGTGCCATCTGATGTCCAGATTTGCATTTGCAAGCTTAAAAAATTTCCACTTTTCTGACAACAATCCGGAGAGGTTCACATCTTTGATAGAACAGATAGTAAAGAATCTCAAGTCCCCATTGATACAAGAAGCAGTGACACTTCTTGATCTGCACAATATGATTATTTTAAGACAAAGATGAGTAATATAAGATCATAGTCTCTGCTTTAAGTGAATCAAGCAGTCCTTTACAGAATGTTTTGTACTAAATGTATTTGTCTGGCAGAGAAACTACTGTCAGGGGTGATTTGAATGCAATATTCCTGCTTCTTGGCAGAATGGGGTTGGACTGGATGGCCCATGAGGTCTCTTCCAACTCTTTGATTCTATGATTCTATGATTCTGTACATAAATTATGCACTGGCTCTGAGGAGTGCACCACTCAGAAGATCAGACAAAGCCAAGCTTTTTGCAGCAACGCAAACCAAGTCAGGCCTCACGGCTTCCGGGAGAGTTACATCACTTTGTGCAAAGGGTCCCAAAGGTACCTTCATGGGGTTTTCATCGTAGGTCGGCGTCCCAAGGTCCATTTCGGCCTCGTGTTCGAGGCTGGCGTCATCTTCGGGGCTGTCCCAGTTCGGAGGGTCCCACTGAGTTTGCCTGCAAAAAGAAAACCCAAAACCACAGGTAAGAAAGGTCCCTTTGTCTGCAAAATAAGGTTCTACGATGCTGCATTAAGCACCAGTTGCATGAAGCAACTGAGATCCAAATGCTCAGGTGCTGCCCAAATACGAGATGCAGTTCAGTGCAACCGAACATCAACAAAAGATTTTCCCAGGCTCAGCCAGGCCTTCAAATGCTAATGAAGGTGGTCAGTTGAAACATTCACACCTAGCTCCAGCAGAGAAGAGCTCTTTGCCCCACCCCAGCCATTCCACAGATATATAAACCCATTGTCCTACTTCCAACAGATCTCACTACCTCAGAGGATGCTTGCCATAGATGCAGGCGAAACGTCAGGAGAAATGCCTCTAGAACATGGCCCTATAGCCCAAAAAAAACCCCACAAGAACCTAGTGATTCCAGCCATGAAAGCCTTCGACAATACATTGAACATCAGATTCCTCTTCAAACTATTATAGTCAGCCCTCCACATTTGCTAGGATTAGGGGCACACCTCTCTCTTTCTCTCTTTTTTTTTTTCGTCTCAGGAGCGACCTGAGAAACTGCAAGTTGCTTCAGGTGTGAGAGAATTGGCCGTCTGCAAGGACGTTGCCCAGGGGACGCCCGGATGTTTTATCATCCTTGTAGGAAGCTTCTCTCATGTCCCCACACGAGGAGCTGGAGCTGATAGAGGGAGCTCACCCGCCTCTCCCTGGATTCGAACCTGCGACCTGTCGGTCTTCAGTCCTGCCGGCACAAGGGTTTAACCCACTGCGCCACCTCTCTAGAAATCTCTCAGTGATTCTATTGGATGCTGGCCACTGATTCCAGGTCCTCCAGCATGAGTTTATGGTTAACTGCACATAGAGTTACATTGGAGTACCTAGAGATTCCTAAAGTGATCATAATTCCATAATTATAGGAAATAGGAAAAGGAAATTTGGATTTTGCGACATGGATTCCCCCGGCTCGGCTTGGTTTTACTGGCACGTTAATCTATTAATGTATTGTTAAAGTTTACTGATGATGTACAATGTTTTAAAATGATTTTATTGTGAATTGTAATTTTTTTTGTATTTATGTTAGCATCCTCTGATGCTCATATGCCACGCTGAGTCCCCCTTGTGAGGAGGAGGGCGGGATAGAAATATCTATATAAATAAAAATGTAATGTTCGTTTGTGGGATTAACATAACTCAAAAACCACTGGAATGAATTGACACCAAATTTGGACACAAGACACCTAACCCAAGGAGTGACAATCACTCAAAAAATTGATTTTGTCATTTGGGAGTTGCAATTACTGGAATTTATAGTTCACCTACAATCCAAGACCATTCTGAACTCCACCAATGATGGAATTGAACTAAACGTGGCATACAGGACTCCCATGACCAACAGAAAACTTGGTACACAGAATTCCCATAACCAACAGAAAATACTGTAAGGGTTTGGTGGGCATTGACCTTGACTTTGGGAGTTGTAGTTCACGTATATCCAGAGAGCACTGTGGATTCAAACAATGATGGATCTGGACCAAACTTGGCAGGAATACTCAAAATGCCCAAATATGAACACAGATAGAGTTTAGGGGAAAAAAAGTTTGACATTTGGGCATTGTAGTTACTGGGATTTACAGTTCACCTACAGAGAGCATTCTGAACCCCATGAACTGTTTACCCACAAACATAGAGAAAATACATATATTAGAAACCAACATTTTCTCATTACTTTATTTTCTAGATCACCAAACTGGGACACAGCAACGCCTACAGACTCACTGCCAAGACATTACACTTGGAGGACCATCATACTCGGGCTACGAGGGATCGCCTAAGTTGTTGTTGTTACTACTACTACTACTACTACAGTCAGCTCTCTCCACATTTGCAAATGTCATTAAGATAATAATAATAATGTTGTTTAAACAACTGAACAAATAAACAACATTATTATTATCATCATCATCATCATCTTTATGACATTTGTAAATGTAGTAGTAATTAATCCGCTGGGAGGAAATGGGTTCAAGTGCCACTTGTTGCACTCTAGCTTTGAGGTCACCTTTTTCACCCAGCACCACACCAGAGTCCAGTAGTATCTAACTACAGCAGTTTATTTACAGCAGTTTATTTATTTATCCGGGGAGAGGCGGACGAGCTCCCTCTATCAGCTCCAGCTTCTCGTGCGGGGACATGAGAGAAGCCTCCCACAAGGATGATAAAACATCAAAACATCTGGGCATCCCCTGGGCAACGTCCTTGCAGACGGCCAATTCTCTCACACCAGAAGCGACTTGCAGTTTCTCAAGTCGCTCCTGACACGACAAAAAAAAGTTTATTTACAAAAGCATGTACCAAAAGGGGAAAAGGGCAATTCCCAAACAGTAGTAGAAGAGGTGCTATAAAATAGCAGTAGTCCATTTCTACGAAGTTTAGGAGTCCACAAAGGCAAGATACATGAAATCCAAGGAATCAAGGTCACCGGCATAAATCCATAAGAATGAAAACAGCTTTTAGAAGATAAAATTCTTACAGGAACACAGGCAAAATAGGAGACTAGACTCATGAGCAACAGGAACGTGATTCTACGGCAACATTGTCTGCTCTGGAGGCACCAAGAAAACATCACTTAATTTAACCTCAGACTCTACCAAGAATCCAGGAGGTCATATCTTTGACAACTGGGTTTCAAAGACTTCTCATAGAGCTTCAAGGACTTATCACTGAGTCTTTCTGACTGTCTAGCTAATCTAGCCTTCACTCCCTCTGTGCAGAGGCCTAATCTGATATTGCGGGAAAACTCCCCATCTGCTGAAGGCCGATTCCCAAGAGAAACAGAATTCCAAGCATCTTCTGTCTCATTTGCAACTGCCGGCACTTCTCTCTGATCTGAGGACTGCAATTCAGCCTGTGTTTCAGCCTGATCACACACAGACTCAGTGAGAAAACCATCACCCCCCTCGTCCTCTGAGGATTCCCCAGCATCTTGCTGCTGAGTCCGAACGCCACTTGTGAAGCAGAGGGTGAAGGCAGGTGTCGGAAAGGTTTGTTAGATACAAAAATTCTATAATGGAGAGATGACACTTGGGTGCCATTACCTTGTGGCCACATGGTAATAATAGATCTTGCCCTCGGGGTCTCGGGCTGTTTTCCAATTGGGAGGGAGGACAATGGTTTTAGGTTTTGGGGGAGACGGCGGAGGCAGGTCCAGAAGGTTGTTGGTCACCACAAGCTCCGGCTGGAAAGGGGCAAGAGAACAAAGAGGCAAAATGTTCAATAGCAGCAGCGAACGGGTAAAACACCAGGACACAAGTGGACTTTGTTCTTAAGCAAGGTGAGCAAAATCAAATTGTGACAATCTTTTCAATAAGGCTTCTGCTTAGGACAGGCATGGGCCAACTTTGGTCCTCCCTCCAGGTGTTTAGGACTTCAGCTCTTACAATTTCTAACAGCCATTCTTCATCCTGGCTCAGGGATATCTTGTCCACTTCCAGCAATGTCAAACAAGTATTTTAATTATATTTTATTTATTGTATGTGTTAGGTTTTAATCCACCCATTGTTATTGTTTTTATTGGAAGATGCTTTGGGTCTCCTTTTGGCAGAGAGAAAGCAGGGCATACATACTATTGCTACTACTAATAATTATAATAATACTTCTTCCATCTTAGGCAAACACACACAGTCTTACCTGTTGTATAGGTGGAGGTTGCCCTGCTGCTACAATAGTGGTCACGGCTGTCGTGGGCTGCACCACTACACCTTGCGCAGTGTAAATCTGCTGCCCCTGGATGTACTGAAGGCTTGGCTGTGCGTAACTCTGGAAGAGAAGCAAGAGCAGTTGCAGAGATTTATTGATTGAATTTTAACAGGATATTGCTTCCCGAGAACAAGGATGGAGGGAAGAGCAGAGCCACTCCCCATCACAAGGTAGGACTGGGTTGTGGCACAGCTGGTTGGGAGTCACCTGCATTAAATCACCACTGACCTGTACAATCGGCGACGTGGTCTGCGAATATGGCGACGTCACCCCATAAACGGCCTGACACGCTTGCCCTTGATAGTATATGGCGGGCTGTGTCTGAGCCGGGGAATAGGGGGGCTGCATGGCCACGGTCTGCTGGCTGGAATCCCAGACGCCGTAGCTCTGTCCTTGAACAGGGGCCGAGACCGGCAAGACCGTGACACCGCTGGTCTCCTGGTGGACGACTGAGTCGCCCTGGGCCACGTACTGCGGGGTGGAGACCTCCAGGGCTGTGGCTACGTGTTGGACAATGGGCACGGGTTGCGGGGCGGCCAGGGTGGTCTCAATGGGGTGCCCCACCAGAGTCTGGGGGTCGTAGGCCGCCGGGGAGCACATGGGGTCCAGGCTGGGCGTGGGGAGGAGCACCTTCCCAGCGTTGGGGTTGGTGGGGTCTACGTAGGACTGCATGGGGTAACCAGGCGGGTAGCCCATGAAGGCGTGTTGGGCAGCACTGTAGGCTAAGGGGTCGTAGGGGAGCGGGGAGGCCATGCCCAGGCTTTGCATCTGCTGCTGCTGCTTCTGGGCTTCGCGCTGGGCCACCTCCTGCTCAAAGAGCTTCCGCCGCTCTTCCGTGGAGAGCTTGTTGCGGTCCTTGATCCGGACTTTCTTTTTCGAGCTGGCCGCCGGCGTGTCGTACCTGGGAGAACAAGGAAGAACGAGCTGCTTACCTGTGACTTCGAGTGGTGATCTGTGAAATTCGCATACAGTGTTCCCTCACTTATCGCGGGTGTTATGTTCCAGGACCACCCGCAAAAAGTGAAAATCCGTGAAGTACGGACGCTACATATGTATATCGAGTTCCGAGGGTGAGGCAGGAGCGAGGAGAAATTTAAAAGCACCACACACCCCCTTTTTTTGCTAGCTATATCTGCTTTGCTTTGCAATTTCTCTTGATTTTCCAGAGGGGAAGGATGAAACCTCTTTCCACACTCTATTGTTGCCAGGAGGTTGCTCTGGGCAATGGCAACCATTCATAAACTGGGAAGCAAAAGCCCGCGAAACAGCGAGTCCACGAAAAGCGAGCAGCGAAGTAGTGAGGGAACAGTGTATATGACTTGGACCTCTTACTGGATTACAAACTGATCCTATTGCATTGTCAAAGGCTTTCTGAGTTGTTCACTGGGTTGTTCTAGGGTTTTTTTGGGCTATATGGCCATGTTCTAGAGGCATTCTCTCCTGACGTTTCGCCTACATCTATGGCAAGCATCCTCAGAGGTAGTGAGGTCTGTTGGAACTAGGAAAATTGGTTTATATATCTGTGGAATGACCAGGGTGGGACAAAGAACTCTTGTGTGCTGGAGCTAGGTGTGAATGTTTCAACTCTTATAAGCCGCACCGAGTCCTTCGGGAGATGGTAACGGGGTATAAATAAAGGTTTATTATTATTATTATTAACTGACCACCTTGATTAGCATTTGATGGCCTGGCAGTTGTTTGGTGTGGCTTGTTAGTGCCTGGGGCAATATTTTGTTGAGAGCTGATTAGACGTCCCTGATTGCTTCCTCTCTGTTGTTGTGCTGTTGTAATTTTAGAGTGTTTTAATACTGGTAGCCAGATTTTGTTCATTTTCATGGTTTCCTCCTTTCTGTTGACACTGTCCACATGTTTGTGGATTTCAATGGCTTCTCTGTGTAGCCTGACATGATGGTTGTGAGAGTGGTCCAGCATTTCTATGTTCTCAAATAATATGCTGTGTCCAGATTGGTTCATCAGGTGCTTTGCTATGGCTGACTAAGGCACCAACAAGCCAACAAGTATTGTCGAAGGCTTCCATGGCCAGAATCACTGGGTTGTTGTAGGTTTCTTCATGAAAATGAAGTCATGAAAATGAACAAAATCTAGCTACCAGTATTTAAAAAACTTTAAAATTACAACAGCAAATCAACAGAGAGGAAACAATCAGGGACATCTAATCACCTCTCAACAAAAGATTGCCCCAGACACCAACAATCCACACCAAACAACTGCCAGGCCATCAAATGCTAATCAAGGTGGTCAGTTGAAACATTCACACCTCGCTCCAACAGACAAGAGTTCTTTGTCCCACCCTGGTCAATCTACAGATATATAAACCCTTTTTCCTAGTTCCAACAGACCTCACTACCTCTGAGGATGCATGCCATAGATGCAGGCGAAACGTCAGGAGAGAATGCCTCTAGAACATGGCCATATAGCCCGAAAAAACCTACAACAACCCAGTGATCCTATTGCCTTCGCGGCTTTGGGGGTTAAAGCCTGGCAGACATAGCAGGATTGCATTATGTGGCTTTCCCCGAGACATAGCAAGCACGTGGCGTGGCCGTTGGACTTGGGGAGTTTCCCCCCACAAGAACTGACCGCACTTCTTGAAAAATGAAGTGGAAGCCATGATCTAGCTTAGGAAGGGGCACGAGGGTGACTAGCCTCATACGTCGATCCAATTAGGGTTGTCGGTCAGGGTCAGTAAAGCCGCAAAGACAATAAGGTATGTTTGTAGTCCATTAAGAGGTCTGAGTCATATGTGCAATTTCACAGACACCACGAAGTAGAAACAGAACTATCCTGGGAGCCATTTTTTTGACAAACCCATGACTGATATGGGAAGAACTGCACCGTTCACTATTGCAAGTCATATTTTAAGACAGGAAACTGGAATATAAATAAATGAAAATAATAATAATAATAATAATAATAATAATAATAATAATAATAATAATAATATACATTCTGTCCTCTGCCATCACTGGAGCCACTGGCTATCTGTGTATCTTTTGAACCTTGCCCTACTGAATAGTTACATTAACTTGAAAACTATTCCATGAACACTTTTAACAAAACAGAGAGGGCGCGCATCCAAATAAATGGCGGGAAGATGATGGGCAGGCCATTGAATTCAAAAACTCACCTGATATATCGAGGTAAACAAGCCAGAAAGGGAAGGCCCACAATCTGTCATGCTTAGGGTAGTTCTATTCAAATGAATGTGGTGCAAGTTCCACTATAACTAATGTGCCCAACTAATTCCAGTAGTGTGTTCTGGACATAAGATAATCAGGATGATGATGGCAATGTTTTTATTAGGAGACGCAAATGATGCTTTTAGTATTCTTGTTATCGTTTTATACTATGTGTTAATGTTTTTAAATGTTTATGGTGTTTTTGGGCACTGAATCGTTGACATTTGTAAACCGCTTTGAGTCGCCTAAGGGCTGGCAAGGGCGGTACACAAATATAGTATACAAATACAGCTCTTCCTGACTGTGAGAGCCGTTCAGCAATGGAACTCTCTGCCCCAGAGTGTGGTGGAGGCTCCTTCTTTGGAAGCTTTTAAACAGAGGCTGGATGGCCATCTGTCAGGGGTGATCTGAATGCAATATTCCTGTTTCTTGGCAGAATGGGGTTGGACTGGATGGCCCATGAGGTCTCTTCCAACTCTTTGATTCTATGATTCTATAGTAAATAATAAATAAATAAATAAAATCGCTGGGGCACAGGACCCCCATGAAAGCTAAAAAGAGCAAATAATGAATTTGCTATTTTTTTGAATGTGAGAGAACACAACTTTAGGAATTTCTAGGTTTTCCAGTATGACTGTTTTGCATTGGAGGACCTAGAGATTCTGACCATCTGGAATCTGACCATAAGTCACACTGGGGGACCTACAGATTTCCAGAGAAAACATTTTTAATCAAATCCACAAATGTTTAAATCCTCAAAAGTCAAAACCACAACTACAGAGGGACAACTGTGCTCACATGGTATTGAGATCAGAGTAATCACTTATATTTGTGCATAAAAAAATTAATGAAGTCGTCACAGAGAAGCAGAACGCACCTGTCATCCGGTCGCTTGGTGCCTCGCTCATAGGCCGAAGGAGGAGACAAAGAATCCCTGCGCCTCTTCTTTTCCTTGCTCTGACTTTGCCTTTCAGGGTCTCGCTCTCTGCTCAGGTTTTTCGGGGTCGAAGCAGGGTCTCGTCCTGCTGTCTCTCGCCCACGATCTGTTGTCAAAAATGGACAGACATGGTCAACACATACAGGTCATTCATTGGGGCTCAGCTCTGCCCCAAAATTGGGGAATGGGTTGATGGAGAAAACATAACCCCAACAAATCTTGGTCAAAAGAGAAAGTTACCACGGTACATTTCTGTTAACATTAAGGAAGATTATGCCTATCTTTGGTGTAAGCACAATTCTCACTGAACTCCATGAGATATCAAGAGCATAACACTGGATAGTTGATTATTTAGCATCACTTATGATTAAGGTCCATATAATATATCCAAACGTGATGCTGGAGAAAAGTTCTATGGATATCATAGATAGATAAATAAAAGGGTCCTATAGTAAATCAAGACTGAATTTTCCTAGAACATAGGCATAGGGCAGTGTTTCTCAACCGTCCTAATCCCGCGACCCCTTAATGCAGTTCCTCATGTTGTGGTGACCCCCAACCATAACATTATTTTCGTTGCTACTTCATAACTGCAATTTTGGTACTGTTATGAATCGTCATGTAAATATCTGATCTGCAGGATGTATTTTCATTCACTGGGCCAAATTTGGCGCAAATACCCAATTCACCCAAATTTGAGTACTCGTGGGGTTGGGGGGAGGATTGATTTTGTCATTTGGGAGTTGTAGTTGCTGAGATTTATAGTTCACCTACAATCAAAGAGCATTCTGAACTCCACCAATGATAGAATTGAACCAAACTCAGCACACATGACCAACAGATAATACTGGAAGGGTTAGGTGGGCATTGACCTTGAGCTTAGGAGTTGTAGTTTACCTACATCTAGAGGGTACTGTGGACTCAAACAATGGTGGATCTGTACCAGACTTGGCATGGATACTCAATATGCCCAAATGTGAACAGTAGTGGAGTTCGGAGAAAACAGACCTTGCGATTTGAGTAGTTGCTGGGATTTATCGTTCACCTACAATCAAAGAGCACTCTGAAACCCACCAACGATAGAATTGGGCCAAACTTCTCACAGAGAACTCCCATGACGAACAGAAAGTACTGTGTTTTCTTATGGTCTTTGGTGACCCCTCTGACACCTCCTCACGACCCCCCCCCCCGGGGTCCCGACCCCCAGGTTGAGAAACACTGGCATAGGGATTCAGAAGACCACTGGAAAAGGGGAGGACTACATTCCAGATGAATGGCCTCCATCAAGGACATCACAGCAGACTGAGCTGAGGACAGGGTGCCTTAAAATCTTGGTGCTCATTCCCACCATATAGTCAGTTTTTGAAACTGACTATGGGAGGTGGTAGTCCAAAAAAGGAACTTTTCTTAGCTCTGAAATCTGTCAGGGTCAAGTCAGACCCTGGGATGATGTCAGTGAAGCCACAAAAAGGCAGCACTGGAACAGGAATGGGAAGGACAATAACACTTTCCAACGAAATTGTACCAGCTTTGAGAGTTAAATTGGAGAGTTCGTACGAAAGCTGGATCTCATTCCATTGAATTTGTATTTCAATGAAGTCCTGTTTTCCCTCTCTCCCAGCAGCCTATTCACTTATTTATGTTTTCAAAAGGAAAAGGCAACGCTTGAGCACATACCGGTGGTCTCCTTTTCCACTTGACTCTTCTTAGGGATCCGGTAAACCTCCTATTAAAACACAACACAATATTGAAGTCAGGTTCTGCTGCCAACACGAGCAAACACATTAATACGACTTTGCCACATAAAGGAATGGGGTAATCATGCCACAACAAAATCTGGTCCCTTTTGCCAGGGACATAATGTGAGGATTGCCCATAAAGGATCTTAAGATTTGGCTGCTTTCAAAGTATCTTCTAAACCCTTTTGGGGGGACCAGGAATGAGCTGTGAGCTGGAACACATCCTCCTCCACCCTCTGCCAACTGGGATAGAATCAATAAAGCATGCATCAAATATCTGAAATTTGTGGCTGAGATGGTGCTCCTGTTGCTTTCTGATGGTTCAATGAACACAAGCACACACGCATTTAAAATAGTGCATCGAAAATGGCCTTCAGGCTTTGTGTATAAAGTGATTGGAAACAGTAATTATATGCAAATGTTCCCAAATTTGGATAAATCTGAAATGCCTTTCAGAGAAAGGATACTCAACCTTTCTTATGTTTCACCAAGAAAACAAACCAATGCTGCCATATTTACATATTTACATTCCCTAAAATTCTCCATCAACTATGCAAAGAATGAGGAAGTACTTCATTAGCGTCACAAATGGACGGTGAAAAGTAAACTCTGATAAGAATTGGGGCAGTGATAACAGATATGTTTACAATGTTAAGAAGGAAGTCAACATAAGATCTACACCAATCAAGAAGATCAACATCTGGCCAGGAAACTGAGATGGAGCCAGGATGGAAGGCGTCTATTACTAATTTACAACTTTGGGATGACATCACGGAATATTCCTATGAAAGACTCAATCTAATAATGCTTGAAGTGTGACAGACAACTGTTCACCCGCTATGCTCTGCTCCATGAGAAGGAGAGAGATAGTGTACTTATGGATAGTGGCAGATTTGCATGAAAGCAGTCTGGTCACTTTGGGGTTTCTTTCTCAAGGGAAGAGGAAGAAGTGCGCTTTTGGAGTCTTAGATTTCGTGCAGGGAGTCAGGTTCTGCTGTATGGAAAACAGAGATCTGGTCCTTGGCATTGTTCTTAAGGAAGAAGTTTTGGCATTTTGGCGTTTTGAAGTTATGGCGTTATGGAAGTTATGGAACTATACATTGGCAGGCTGCATGAAAGCAGGGTCTGGCCTGACAGGTGCTTCTCCAAGGAGAGAGAACAGGATATGGTAATATGCTTCAAAGTTTTTGAAAAGTCATTCATGGCATTCAGTCTGCTCACATTAGAGCAGTGGTTCTCAACCTTTCTAATGCCGCGACCCCTTAATACAGTTCTTCATGTTGTGGTGACCCCCAGCCATTAAATTATTTTCACTGCTACTTCATAATTGTAATTTTGCTACTGTTATGAATCGTTATGTAAAGAGAATGTTTGAGGACCAGGACATCCATAGGGATACCAAGGTGTTTGTTTATAAAGCTATTCCCCTCCCAACCTTGCTATACGCCTGCGAGACGTGGACTGTCTACAGACGTCACATGCAACTCCTGGAACAATTCCATCAGCGCTGCCTCCGGAAAATCCTGCTGAACGGCTCTCACAGTAAGGAACATGAGGAAGAACTTCCTGACTGTGATAGCCGTTCAGCAGTGGAACTCTCTGCCCTGGAGTGTGGTGGAGGCTCCTTCTTTGGAAGCTTTTAAACAGAGGCTGGATGGCCATCTGTCAGGGGTGATTTGAATGCAATATTCCTGCTTCTTGGCAGAATGGGGTTGGACTGGATGGCCCATGAGGTCTCTTCCAACTCTGATTCTATGATCTGATATTTTATTTATTTATTTATTTATTTATTTATTTATTTATTTATTTATTTATTATTCGAACTTATATGCTGCCATTCCCCTGGGGCTCGGAGCGGCTTACAAGAACAGGCTAAAATCGAACACAATTTAAAAATAATTTAAAACAATTTAAAAACAGCAATATCAGAGATCAATATCAGAGATATGCAGGATGTATTCTTATTGGAGTGTTATGGGAGGATTGATTTTTGTCATTTGGGAGTTGTAGTTGCTGGGATTTATAGTTCACCTACATTCAAAGAGCATTCTGAACTCTACCAATGATGGAATTGGACCAAACTTGGCACACAGATATCCCATGACCAACGGAAAATACTGGAAGGATTTGGTGGGCATTGACCTTGAGTTTGGGAGTTGTAGTTCACCTACATCCAGAGAGCACTGTGGAATCAAGCAATTATGGATCTGGGCCAGACTTGGCACAAATACCCCATATGCCCAAATGTGAACACTGGTGGAGTTTGGGGAAAACAGACCTTGACATTTGGGAGTTGGACTTGCTGGGATTTATAGTTCACCTACAATCAAAGAGCATTCTGAACCCCACCAACGATAGAATTGGGCCAATCTTCCCACATAGAACCCACATGACCAACAGAAAATACTGTGTTTTCTGAAGTTCCTTGGTGACCCCTCTGACACCCCCGCGTGACCCCCCTAGGGGTCCCGACCCCCAGGTTGAGAAACACTGCATTAGAGATTATTGGCTTGATGGTATTATTTAAAGCTGCTACTACAGCAAGAGTTTCATGTGGAGCCCCTTGTTCCCACTCTTCAAATTCTCTCATTTCATGCCAGGCAGGGGTTGTGGTCATCACAATTTGATCCCTTTGCAAGCGCGTTTTGGTGGGAACGAGAGACAGGGCCTTCTCTGTGGTGGCCCCTCGGCTATGGAACTCTCTCCCAAGCGAGATTAGATCTGCCCCCTCCCTCTTGTCCTTCAGGAGGCTAGTGAAATTCTGGTTATGGAATGAAGCATTCCCAGAATAATAGCTGAGACTGGTTACAGGCCAAAGTGAGTGACCACATATGCAGACTGAGTTGAACATGATTCTACCTTGGCGATTTGGTATATATGTATTTTATCTATATGTATTTTGATCTTGTATTGTTGTATGATGTTTTAACTTGCATTAGTAGCATTGAATCCTTGCTGTAAGCCGGTCTGAGTCCCTCTACGGAGGTGAGAAGATCGGGATGTATAAGTTTTAAATAATAATAATAATAATAATAATAATAATAATAATCCCCAAGATAAAAGTCAAGTTCAAATTAAATCTACAACACCTTGAAAAGGCCTGTGTGTGTGTGTGTGTGTGTGTGTGTGTGAGTGAGTGAGTGAGTGAGAGAGAGAGAGAGCGCAACAGATGAAAAGAAATGTGTGTTTAAAATGCTGGTGACAGGATCGTTCTATCTGCTGGGTTTTTCTCAGGCATTCTGCTTCAAACTTCCTCAAATCCCGGCTGTTCGGTCCATATGTGAAAAAGAGTCACAGATGGAAAGAAATCCCACAAAGGCCAGAGTTCAAACTTGTTATTTCTTGGAAACCTATGAACAATCCTGGCATGTTTTATTTTCAAGGCTTTACTGCCAGTAAATGAACATTTAGGGAGGATTTTGACTTTTTTAGAATAGAAAAAAATGATCCACACAAACCTGGAAAATAAGCCAATGGTGGTCTTATAGGGGGAGTAAGAGCTCTAGGTGCTCTTACTGTCTACTACAGGGAAAGCCAGCTGATCCCTAATCCATCTAAAACACAGACATGTGCTTTTCACCTCAAGAACAGACAAGCATCCTGAGCTCTGAGGATTATTACCTGGGAAGGAATCCCACTGGAGCATTGCAGCACACCCAAATCCCTGGGAGTCACTCTGGACCGTGCTCTGACCTACAAGAAGCACTGCCTGAACATAAAGCAAAAAGTGGGCGCTAGAAACAATATCATGCGAAAGCTGACTGGCACAACCTGGGGATCACAACCAGACACAGTGAAGACATCTGCCCTTGCGCTGTGCTACTCTGCTGCTGAGTATGCATGCCCAGTGTGGAACACATCTCACCACGCTAAAACAGTGGATGTGGCTCTTAATGAGAGATGCTGCATTATCACGGGGTGTCTGCGTGCTACACCACTGGAGAAATTACACTGCTTAGCCGGTATTGCACCACCTGACATCCACCGGGAAGTAGCAGCCAATAGTGAAAGAACCAAGGCAGTGACATCTCCAGCTCATCCCTTGTTTGGGAATCAGCCAGCATGTCAATGACTAAAATCAAGAAATAGTTTCCTAAGATCTACAGAGACACTTGCTGGAACACCCCACAAGCGAGAGTCCAAAAGTGGCAGGCTCAAACCCAGAACCTCAATCAATGGCTGATACCAAATGAGAGACTCCCCGCTGGGCACACAGAAAACTTGGCAACTTGGAAGGCGCTGAACAGACTGCGCTCTGGCACCACGAGATGCAGAGCCAACCTTCAGAAATGGGGCTACAAAGTGGAATCCACGACATGCGAGTGTGGAGAAGAGCAAACCACTGACCACATGCTGCAATACAATCTGAGCCCTGCCACATGCACAATAGAGGACCTTTTTATAGTAACACCAGAGGCACTCTAAGTGGCCAGATACTGGTCAAGGGACATTTAATCAACTACCAAGCTTGCAAACTTTGTATTTTGTCTGTCTGTTTGTTCTGTTAAAAATGTAATACAACTGTTCGGTTGCCTGACACGATAAATAAATAGGGAGAGGGATGTGGTCATATATGAAACCCTAAAGGGCCAAAAGTTCCCCAGTCCTCTCTTATAGACACATCACATTAAACACTGTGGAAGCCACCCACTGCATGACTATCAGCCTCCTCCCAGTAGACTAAAATCAAGGAAAAGCTTCATGAGAACCACCACTCCTCTTAATGTTCCTCCAGCAACAACATGAATATCCCTCTTTGTAGCTAAACTATGAAATCCCAACTGGGTAGCCCCCCAACAAGGGTCTTCCTCCAGGGGAAAACCGAGAATGGACAACGTGAACGTCCCTGAACAGACTCAGAAGTGGAGTGGGTTGATCAAAACAACCTGGCGAAATGGCACTATCTAGAACAGTGGTTCTCAACCTGGGGTCCCCAGATGTTTTTAGCCTACAACTTCCAGAAATCCAAGCCAGTTTACCAGCTGTT